ATCACATTACTGTAGCATCACATTACTGCCCAGCATCACACATGCACCAGCATCACACATTACTGCCCAGCATCACATTACTGTAGCATCACACGTGCGGCATCACGTACTGGCATCACACATTACTGTTTGCATCACACGTACTGCATCACACACACGTACTGTGGCATCACACATTACTGTTGCATCACACATTACTGTAGCATCACACATTATAACCGGCATCTTACGTGCTGTAGCATCACACATTTAACAGCGGCATCACACACGTTACTCAGCGGCATCACGGTATAATGGCATCACCTGCTGGCGTCACATTACTGTGGCATCACATTCTGTGCGCATCACATTACTGTGGCATCACATTACTGGCAGCATCACGTACTGTGGCATCACACATTGCTGTGGCATTACACACGTACTGTAGCATCATTACTGTTGCATCACCTACATTTTTGCAGCATCGCATTACTGTAGCATCACACATTACTGTTGCATTACACGTGCTGTGGCATCACACATTGCTGTATCATCACACATTGCTGTGGCATTACACGTACTGTGGCAGCATCACCACGTACTGCGTGCTGGCGGCATACCACATTACTGTTTACTCACACGTGCTGTAAGCATCCACACATTACTGTAGCATCACACATTACGCGCGCGCATCACATTTTTCTTAGCATCCGCATTACCAGCATCACACGTACTGGCATCACACGTTACTGTAGCATCACCACATTGCTGTGGCATCACGTGCCATGGCGGCATCACGCATTGCTGTTGCGTTACACATTGCACCGTAGCATCACACATTGCCAACATCATCCGCATTATAACTGGCGTTACCGTGCTGTGGCATTACATTACTGTGGCATCCGCATTACTGTGGCATCCGCGTGCCAGCAGCATCACGCACATTACTCAGCAGCATCACACATTACTGTTGCGCATCACACATTACTGTGGCATCACATTACTGTATCATCACACATTACTGTAGCGTACGTTACCAGCGGCATTACGCATTACTGTAGCATCACACATTACTGTAGCATCACACATTACTCAGCCAGCATCACACATTACTGTGGCATCACACATTACTGGCATCTTTATTACGCCATCACACATTGTTGCATCACACATGCACTGTAGCATCACACACATTGCTGGCATCACGCATATTCATGGCATCACGTACTGTATCCATCACACATTGCATTACATTACGCAGCGGCATCACGTACTGCATCACACATTACTGTGGCATTACGCATTACTACATGGCATCACACACGTTGCTGTGGCATCACATTGCTGGCGTCACGTTGCGCCAGCAGCATCACGCATTGCTGTGGCATCACATTGCTGGCCATCACCTGACTGCTGTAGCATCACACATTGTTGCATCACACATTACTGTAGCATCACACATTACTGTTGCATTACGCATTACGCAGCAGCATCACACGTTACTGTGTCATCACATTACTGTGGCATTACACACGTGCTGGCAACGTACACGTGCTGTCGCATCACCGTGCGCATCACACATTAACGCTGGCATACGCATTTTTCACCAGCATCACGCATTGCTGTAGCATCACATTACTGTTGCGTACACATTATATCACGCACATTACTGTGTCATCACATTACTGTGCGTACATGCTGTAGCATCACACATTGCTGCCAGCATCACATTACTGCTTAGCGGCCACATTACTGGCATCACACATTACTGTAGCATCACATTACTGTGGCATCACACGTGCTGTGGCATCACACATTACTGTTGCATTACACGTTGCTGTTGCATCACACGTGCTGTATCGTCACACGTGCTGTGGCATCACATTACTGTGGCATCACACATTGCACTGTAGCATCACACATTACTGTAGCATTACACATTTCTGTGGCATCACACATTGCTGTATCATCACATTACTGTAGCATCACACGTACTGTAGCATCATTATTGTTGCATCACACATTACTGTAGCATCACACATTACTGTATCACACGTGCCAGCATCACACATTACTGTAGCATCACACTTACTGTTGCATTACATTACTGTATCACACATTACTGTATCATCACACATTACTGTAACGCCACACATTACTGTAGCACTCACATTGCACACTTAAGCATCACATTACTGTGGCATACGTTACTGTAGCATCACACGTACTGTTGCGTTACGTTACTGTAGCATCACACGTGCTGTGGCATCACACACGTGCACTGTAGCATCACACATTACTGTAGCATTACATGCGCATTACATTACTGGCATCACCGTACTGTATCACACGTACGCAGCATCACACATTACTGGCATCACACACATTACTGTTGCGTTACACGTACTGCTGCATCACCGTTTTCTGTTGCTGCATCACACGTTA